AATACTGATCTTTTGGAATTAAGGAAATTTATTTCACTTTACAGGCAATGTTTATTATTATTTTTTATTTTTTAGAATCTTACAACTTTTTATATAATTTTAGACGCAAAAATAAACTCGAAAACTGTGACAATTTGGTAACCGTTTTTTTTTGCTGTTAAACGGATTTTCTGTTACAGGTTTTATATTTTAATATATAAAACTGCAATTTTTACATACATATACGCATCAAATAAGATAGGTAAATGAAATAAATACGCTCAATTTGTAAAGTATAGGATTTGTATATATGCCTGTGCTTCTTCTCCAGCGGCGTACAGGTATGTTGTGTTGTTGTTTTTTGTTTAAAAATTCGAGCCCGTTTGGTCTTATGTTTCGTGCTTAGTTTTCGCGCCCGGTTGTGTAAATTTTATTTGTATAAAATGTGTTGTTTGTTTGTACACATGTATGTATATGTGGATGTAGATATGCATATTTTTATGTCACTGCACCCGTTTACTTTGTGACCACACTTTTGTTCTGTATTTTTTTTTTGTTTGAATTTGCGTCACTACATTTTTTAATTTTATTTAGTCACCGCACTTTGTATATTTTTCTATTTGTATGTTATTATGTTTTTTGGTGAAATTCCTTGAGTGTTCTGAGGTGTGGTGTGGTTCCGTTAGGGTGCGCCAGTTTTTTCGAGTAGAGTGGTGTTACATATAGGGGAGGTTAATCTTATTTAAACAAATATAAAGTGAATATTATAACTTTAAAAATGAAAAAATAATAACAAAATGAATTTAAATAAAAATATATTTTTTATATAAAATTTATAACACCAACATTTTAAATGAAATGTGATGTTATAATTTTAATAAAAAAATATTAATGAAATAAAAATAATATATTTTTAATTTATATTATTTTAAACAAATATTAAAAATTTGAAAGTAAAATATTATAACTTTAAATAATTCAAACTTAAAATAAAATGATATATTAGAAAATCAATATAATTAATAAATGTAATGATTTATAAAATATTTTCGCACTCAAAAAAATATTCTTTAATTTATAAAGATTTCAATAATTTTTAATTTACTTATAAAATTGGCGAATATATTATAAAACAATATCCACATATAATATATATAAATATTGCAAAAAACAAAATTATTATATTCATGAAAAGCTTTGAAATTTAACAAAATTTAAAATTCTAAAATTGAATTAATTATAATTAAAATTTGGTGTGAAATGAAAATATTAATACGTTTAAAAAATACTCGCTTTGGTGCGAAATGCATATTTTTAAATTTAAAAATATTGAAAATAAAATCATAAAAGAATTTTGGCAAATTAAATATTAAACAATCCAATTTATAAAATTCATTAATTCATTACTTAAAAACTGCTCGAAAAAATTATAAAAACAAAATAACTTTATATCCATGGAAAGATTTTCAATGTTTTTTTTTAATAAAATTTTAAATTTTAAATATATAAGTCATGAATTATTTCCATTCAGTATAATTTTTTATTAAATAAAGTGAAAACAAGAAAACTGTTTAACTTTGGTTGTACCGAAGCGTAAAAACCGAAGCATATGAAAAAATATTAAGCCATACTAAGGACTTGATTGTGATCGATCGGTCACATGGCAGATTATATTCTATCGTGGTCCGAATCTGTCAATATTTTGATAAATTGATGTAAAATGTGATATCTTGAACAAAAAGTTCTTCACACAAGAGCTTATTTATAAATCGTCAGTTTGTATGTCAGCTATCATAGTGGTCCGATAATCGGTGCTCCGTCAAAATGAATATTTGATTTTTAAATTTTGCTTTTTTATATCTTCAAATGTCCGACGAATGAAATGACAATTCTTTTTACTTTTACTTAAAGTAGCTTTTATTTAAGTATCCGGGCATAAAACTATTGTATTCTATATTTTAACCCTTCTTATTGTTAACGTGTGTAAATATTGAATCATTTTTCAGCTGATCGTTAATTATGGTTTTTTATTTGAAAAAATTCCTTGGTCAGCTATAATCGTAACTCTGCAGCTTTCACTATTTGTTATCTTTTTGGAAAATATCATGACTTACAGGGTAGTACTAAGTCAAATAACCTATAAAAACATCTTCATATCTATTAATTATTTATTAATACTATGAAAAGTCAGTCAGTTAGCATTAATATCGTGAAAAAGAAACAGTTAATATCAATCATTACCACGTTTTTATAAAACTATCCACAAATATCTTTGGCATGGAATCTCATATATATGCAAATTAACTCATACGTTTAAAAATTGTCCAAATAATCAAACTAGTGCTAAAATAAATTTTCGTTTTTTTTTGTTGGTTTCTTATTTTTAAACGTTAACATATCTTTTGGTTTTCAATGATAATAAATAACTTGAATTTATGTATGCAATATAGATATCTTATGAATAAATAACTCATTTATGTAGATATGATAATAATATTACAATAATATTACTATATAATTTTCCATTTATTATGCGAATTTTTTTTGGGATTTAAGTTCGTCCACACTTTTTTCCAAGATTCGAGTTAAAACGATAAGTTGGAGCAAATAGCGGTCAACTGGTGACTAAGCAAACTTAGTAATGCTCAAGATAGTCACACACTTTAAAAATGTTAACACCATATAACATATGTAACACTTGCGTATAACGGTTTTCAAAATACTACTAAAATATTTCTAAAATAAACTGAAATTGTGCAAAATTAAAGTCAAACCACAAATAGAATCTTCAAAAAGATAAAATTACCATTCCTTCAGAGAGATTTGCGCATAAATTGTATATAAATATATATAGTATGGTAAATATGTATGTCGATATGCCGTCCAACATAAATGCCTTTTTTAAATTTACGGGAGTGATCTTTCTTTCTTGATTTGCATATCCACACATACATATACACATAAGTATGTATGTTATGTGCCATAAAGAGGTATGTAATATGGTTCACTTTCCCATTGTCATGCAAACACAACACACATTCCGCATTAGTGAATCTACAACAAAGCGTAACGTCTCAATTAGAAATGCATTAAGTAAATATTTGAAGATACTCCAACTCATAAATTTGTTTTGTTTAATACAAATACACAACAAAGTCCAACTCGTAACTGTTATCTTAGGTCACGCTAATTTTAATTTCTAGTTTTTTTTTATTAATAAACAAATTTTGAATTTTTGGCCAAACTACTTTTATAAGTAATTATTGTTAACAAGTTTATTTAGTAATTAAGCACATGTTGTTTTCTTCTTTTCGATGCATTTGATTGTTTAGCGCGGCCGAAATAGCGCGTCAAAGCGCACGGACTGGGATTACGTATACAAATAGAATGGATCGAGATTATCCAAGCTTGTGGTGGTTCACAACAGTCGCCTATCAATTTGGATCATTATACCGTAAGTGTTGAGTATTGGACAAAATTATTTTTGAAAATGTTTACAAAATACACATCGCCATTAAAAAATAATACAGGACACTTCGATTCGTAATTCCTACTCGCCATGTTTGAGCACTGCTTCTCTCTTCTATTCTATTTCAAAACGAAAGCGCAAAGATGGCATAATCGCTTAAAATTGTATGTACATACATGGTTAGTCTAGTTTATTACTCTTTACGCACTTGTTTGTTCTATCGCTTACTATAAAAGTTTGAACGGCTCAAAGAAAGTTTATGCGTTGTGGAAAATGACTGATCTTAGCAATTTCTGTTTCTGTCTAAAATTGCCTATTTCCCATAATAACACCCATTTTCATTCATCTGAAATCTTTTCACTTTCCACTATGCATATCAAGCAAAGACATTGATTATATCGGGGTAAACTTTGCGTGAATAATGCGTTTAAAGTATGCCACCTTTGACCAAAATTTCTACAAACGAACCAAAACTGTCAGGCCCCTAGGTACTGAAAAATGTGGATCCAGAGCTTATAATGACTTTTAACCGAAAAATATCGGTGCAATAATGTATATATTAAATTGAAATTCATATAATAAATAAATTAATGAAACTCTCGATAATAGTACGTCTTTGTGTCAACAATGGGTTGAATCGATCAATACTTCTTTTAAAATAAAAATTTTGGCCAAACACCTTAAGGAATTTGCCGGGCATTGATCCTTGCAAGTTTGCGAGAGTAATAAAATGTTCGTTACACCCGAAACTTAGAACTTCGCTTGCTTGTTTTTTTTTATGTCATCACGTAAGACCGAATTGATTCTATGTCATATCATTTGCATAAATATGCATATTTCCTAAAAAAATTACCCACTTTCGAACATAACCAAACGAAGACTTTTATGGTAACCGATAGATCTATATATAACTGAACATACTGGCACAATAGTTAAGTGCGTTTCTAAAATTGTCAAATTAGCAAATCGCATAATTAATATATTTACGTGTTACCAGTTTTTGAGATGAATATATTAATTCCAAATTACTGATATATTAAGTGACGCTATGAAATGATTTAATTTTTTTTAATTACGTCAATATGTATATAATTTTTTTTTTCATTTCTCATAACTCTTTGGTTTGTGTTCACTTCAGTCCATAGGTTCGCTTAAGCCGGCTTGAAGTTCAGAACTATGCGCAGCCGTTCGCTTGCCGACTTACGCTCATCAATGACGGGTCATACAGGTACAATCCATCATTTGAAACTCTTTAAATAGCAACAAACAAATTTAACGACTGAATTAAATAACACTTTGTCATACTTAACAGCTGATATACACTGCCTGAGACTGTACGTGACGCGGCCAACTATTTTTACCAGGGTTTTTTGGTTCCCCCCTTTGGTTTGGGAAAATGGGGGCGGGGGCATACACACATACACATATGTATGTATTGTTGTCGGCGTGTGCATATGTATGTGTAAATGTTTAAGTTTGACCAGGCATACACCTGTTTTTGAGTACATACATTTGCCGGCTTCGCAGCGTGGTCTGATCTATTTGCAATTTCAGTTGCTTCCGGCCGCTTGCGCGCATGTGTGCGTGTGTTTGTGTTCTCTCAAGCTCCGCTATGCTAGCCGGCTTGGCTTGGACAAAACAGTTTGCTGCTTGTATATAAATTGATTGCAGTCTCCAGTGCAGTGCAGTGCTTTAGTTAATCGGACTAATAACCGATCTGCAACGCTCGCCGGCATAATCGCATTTTAACTGTATTTAGTTTAGCTTTGTCGACTTCATCGCTCTCATAGCGCTCTATTGAACTTCTTAAGCAAAATTAATTTTTAAGTGAAATTTTGCGGTTTACAGTTATTGTTTTATAAAAAACTTACGTCGTGTAAAAATGGTGCTGAAAAAACCGTTATTTCTGTTACTGCAGCTTTTGACTGGTAATTGTTGCATTTGTTTTTGCATATCAAAAGGATAATTATAGTTATATTGAAATAGTAATATGTGAAAATTAAGTAAATAAAAAATATTATGTGCTTTTTCAAAGAACCTATATACCTTGAAGAAGCAAAAATTTAAAAAAAAAAACTGGTGTGAAATGAAGTATTACAAGCGAATATAGGATAATATAATAAAAAATATAATAATAAAAAATAATGTTTTGTTTTGTCTATAGTTATTTGAAACAAATATAAAAAATAAAATATTATAACTTTTAAACGAAATAATATATTACTTTTTATAATATATAATCGAAAAAAAAAATATATGAAATAAAATTTAATATTAATAACTAAATATTGAATAACTTAGCACTCCATATTTAAAATACAAATTCCCGCGTTATGGAATCACAATTTATTTGATTTAGTTTTTAATATTAATTTAATAAAAGTGCAAATTATAAATGTAGAATCCGGAGGCTGATGCCAATAAAATTGCGTAAGTAGTGCCGCGAGAACCAATTTTGCGTGGGAGAAGGGATGCGTCAAACAGGCTCGTTGCACGATCGCAAAACTTTGGATGTGCAATTATATCGAATTAGCGCGTGGCGAACATTGTTGATGCGGCGCAGCGCACAAAACGAAAGAAAGGCCTGTGAACGATAAGCAAATTTTTAGGATCGCTGTATCAGCTGTCTAATAAGCAAATGTCCATTTAGCGATGGTCCCGTCCTTTTTGTTAGGTGTCTTCGTGCATGTTGTTCTCAGAGGTTGAGAGTGGTGGTGTCGTCGTGTGGGGTGAAATTCCTTAAGTATTCTCAGGTGTGGTGTGCTCCATTAGGGATTAGGGCTGTAAAATTAGAGGGATCTTGCGAACGTACAGTGATTGGCCGTGACTTAAGAACGGCTTCATTTCGTTACAGAGAAATTTGATATATTAGTATTTGTAATATCCAACTACTTTTTAGTAGGATTTGAAGCTTTTTATAGCTGATTCTCATAAACCAACCAAATGCGGAGCGCTTAGATAGATGCGATAAGTGCGACCTCTCCTTTTTGTAAGTCTAGGTGCGTCACTGTATCACATTGGGAGTATGGTAAACCCTTAACTTTATTTTTGAATTGTTTTATAATTATGAAAACTTAGGCAACTATGAGGCACTATAGCAAGAGATTTTTCGATTTTTTTACTTTCTTCGGACAAATTTAAGTGCGTATGCACATAGCTTACGACTTTTTATGCAGGATTTTTGTATCATTATTGGCAAGAGCCATTCTGCGGGTTCGAAAAATTACATATTTGTGTTTTTAAATGGATCTTGCCAGAAGCAACTCTGACTTTGTTTTTTCTGCCAATTCGTGGAGTGTTGGAATATTGTGAATTTAGTGGTAGTCGTACGACATACCGACCATTATTTGATCTAGTAGTTGTGGCTTTGTAGAAGGGTTCACAATACTGATCTTTTGGAATTAAGGAAATTTTATTTCACTTTACAGCAATGTTTATTATTATTTTTTATTATTTTAGAATCTTACAACTTTTTATATAATTATAGACCGCAAAAAAAACTCGAAACTGTGACAATTTGGTAACCGTTTTTTTTTTTGCTGTTAAAACGGATTTTCTGTTACAGGTTTTATATTTTAATATATAAAACTACAATTTTTACATACATATACGCATCAAATAAGATAGGTAAATGAAATAAATACGCTCACTTTGTAAAGTATAGGATTTGTATATATGCCTGTGCGTTTTGTACCAATTCCTGTGCTTCTTCTCCAGCGGCGTACAGGTATGTTGTGTTGTTGTTTTTTGTTTAAAAATTCGAGCCCGTTTGGTCTTATGTTTTGTGCGTAGTTTTCGCGCCCGCTTGTGTAAATTTTATTTGTATAAAATGTGTTGTTTGTTTGTGTGTTGTGTGTACATACATGTATATGTAGATGTACATATGCATATTTTTATGTCACTGCACCCGTTTACTTTGTGACCACACTTTTGTTCTGTATTTTTTTTTTGCTTGAATTTGCGTCACTACATTTTTTAGTTTTATTTAGTCACCGCACTTTGTATATTTTTCTATTTGTATGTTATTATGTTTTTTGGTGAAATTCCTTGAGTGTTCTGAGGTGTGGTGTGTTCCGTTAGGGTGCGCCAGTTTTTTCCGAGTAGAGTGGTGTTTACATGTAGGGGAGGTTAATCTTATTTAAACAAATATAAAGTGAAATAGTATAACTTTAAAATTAAAAAATAATAACAAAATGAATTTAAATAAAAAATATATTTTTTTATATAAAATTTTATAACACCAACATTTTAAATGAAATGTGATGTTATAATTTTAATAAAAAAAAAATATTAATGAAATAAAATATATATATTTTTTAATTTATATTATTTTTAAACAAATATTAAAAATTTGAAGTAAAATATTATAACTTTAAATAATTCAAACTTAAATTAAAATGATATATTAGAATATCAATATTATTAAAAATAAATGTAATGAATTTATAAAAAATATTTCGCACATAAAAAAATTTCTTAATTTATAAAGATTTCAATAATTTTAATTACTTATAAAATTGCGCGAATATATTATAAAACAAATATCCACATATAATATATATAAATATTGCAAAAAACAAAATATTTATATTCATGAAAAGACTTTGAAATTTAACAAAATTTAAAATTCTAAAATTGAATAATTATAATTAAATTGGTGTGAAATGAAATATTATAACGTTTATAAAATACTGCTTTTGGTGCGAAATGCATATTTTTAATTTAAAAAATATTGAAAATAAAATCATAAAAGATATTTTGCCAAATTTAATATTAAAAACAATCCTAATTTATAAAATTCAATTAATTCCAATTACTTAAAGAACTGCTCGAAAAAATTATAAAAACAAAATAACTATTATATCCATGGAAAGATTTTCAAATGTTTTTTTTAATAAAATTTTAAATTTTAAATATATAAGTCATGAAATTATTTCCATTCAGTATAATTTTTTATTAAATTAAGTGAAAACAAGGAAAACTGTTAACTTTGGTTGTACCGAAGCTAAAAACCGAAGCATATGAAAAAATATTACCATACAAGGACTTGATTGTGATCGATCGGTCAACATGGCAGATATATTCTATCGTGGTCCGATCTGTACAATTTGATAATTGATGTAAAATGTGATATCTTGTAACAAAAAGTTCTTCACACAAGAGCTTATTTTAATCGTCAGTTTGTATGTCAGCTTATGCTATAGTGGTCCGATATCGGTGGCTCCGTCAAATGAATATTTGATTTTTAAATTTGCTTTTTTATATCTTCAAATGTCGACGAATGAAAATGACAATTCTTTTTTACTTTTACTTAAGTACTTTTATTTAAGTATCGGCATAAAACTATTGTATTCTATATTTTAACCCTTCTTATTGTTAAACGTGTGTAAATATTGAATCATTTTTCAGCTGATCGTTAATTTATGGTTTTTATTTGAAAAAATCTCCTTGGTCACTATAATCGTAACTCTGCACTTTCACTATTTGTTATCTTTTTGGAAAATATCATGACTTACAGGGTAGTACTAAGTCAAATAACCTATAAAAACATCTCTTCATATCTATTAATTATTTATTAATACTATGAAAGTCAGTCAGTTAGCAATTAATATCGTGAAAAAGAAAGTTAATATCAATCATTTACCACGTTTTATAAAAACTATCACCAATATCTTTGGCATGGAATTCATATATATGCAAATTAACTCATACCTTTTAAAAATTGTCCAAATAAATCAAACTAGTGCTAAAATAAAATTTCGTTTTTTTTGTTGGTTTCTTTATTTTTAAACGTTTAAACATATCTTTGGTTTTCAATGGATAATAAATAACTGAATTTATGTATGCATATAATATTATGATAAATAACTGCATTTATGTAGATATGATAATAATATTACAATAAATTACTATATATAATTTCCATTTAATTATGCGAATTTTTTGGGATTTAAAGTTCGTTCCACACTTTTTCCAAGATTCGGAGTTAAAACAGATAAGTTGGAGCAAATAGCGTCACTGGTGACTAAGCACAACTTAGTAATGCTCAAGATAGTCACACACTTTAAAAATGTTAACACCATATATACATATGTACACTTGCGTATAACGGTTTTCAAAATACTCTAAAATATTTCTAAAATAAACTTGAAATTGTGCAAAATTAAAGTCAAAACCACAAATAAATCTCAAAAGAATAAAATTAACCATTCTTTCAGAGAGATTTGCGCATAAATTGTATATAAATATATATTAGTATGTAAATATGTATGTCGATATGCCGTCCAACATAATGCCTTTTAAATTTACGGAGTGATCTTCTTTCTTGATTTTGCATATCCACACATACATATACACATAAGTATGTATGTTATGTGCCATAAAGAGGTATGTATATGGTTCACTTTCCATTTCATGCAAACACAACACACATTCGCATTAGTGATCTACAACAAAGCGTAACGTCTCATTAGAAATGCATAAGTAAATATTTGAAGATACTCCAACTCATAAATTTGTTTGTATTAATACAAATACACAAACAAAGTCAAACTCGTAACTGTTATCTTAGGTCACGCTTAATTTATTTCTAGTTTTTTTTTATTATAAACATAAATTTTTGCAAATTTTTGGCCAAACTACTTTTATTAAGTAATTATTGTTAAACAAGTTTTATTTAGTATTAATGCACATGTTGTTTCTTCTTTTCGATTGCATTTGATTGTTTAGCGCGCCAAATAGCGCGTCAAAGCGCACCGGACTGGGATTACCGTGATACAAATAGATGGATCGAAGATTATCCAACTTGTGGTGGTTCACAACAGTCGCCTATCAATTTGGATCATTATACCGTAAGTGTTGAGTATTGGACAAAATTATTTTGAAAATGTTACAAAATACACACTCGCCATTAAAAAATAATACAGGACAACTTCGATTCGTAATTCTCTACTCGCCATGTTTGCGCACTGCTCTCCATTCTATTCTATTCAAAACGAAAGCGCAAAGTGGCATAATCGCTTAAAATTGTATGTACATATATGGTTAGTCTAGTTTATTACTCTTTACCACTTGTTTGTTCTATTCGCTACTATAAAAGCTTTGACGAGTCAAAGAAAGTTATAGCGTTGTGGAAATGACTGATTTAGCAATTTCTGTTTCTGTCTAAATTGCCTCAAAGTCGAGTTAAGCTTTCGGTTTAGATATATCAAATGTAAAAAATTTGCATGAAATCTGTTCTCCCGGACTGTTATTATACTCTCGCAACATGTTGCTACAGAGTGAAATAGGTTTGTTCACCTAGCGGTTGCTTGTATCACCTACAACTAATCGAGTTAGATATAGCGTTATGTATATATAAATGATCAAGATGAAGAGACGGGTTGAAATCCGGGTGGCTGTCTGTCCGTCTCTCCGTCCGTCCTAACTAAGCTCCACAATAAGATACAAGACTGTTATTTATATCTCTGGAACGGTATAAGATGACTGATAGGAAGCGCGTTAAAAATTATATAGTGGGCGTGGCACCGCTCACATTTAGGTGAAAACCCATATCCTGGGATCTGCTCAGCCGATTTCAACCAAATTCGGTGCATAACGTTCTTTTCATATTTTTATGTTATAGTGCGAAAATGGGCGAAATCAGACTACAGCCACGCCTATTTCCCATATAACACCATTTTCAATTCCATCTGATTCTTTCACTTTCCACTATGCAAATCAAGCAACAATGTTGTATCGGGGTAAGACTATGCGAGAATAATGCGTTTAAAGTATGCCACCTTGTGACCAACAATTTTCTAAATCGAACCAAAACTGTTCAAGCCCCTAGGTACTGAATATGTGGATCCCAGAGCTAATTGACTTTTTACCGAAAATATTGGTCAATGTGTAATATATTAAATTGAAATTCATATAAAAAAATAAATAAATGAAACTCTCGATAATAGTATGTCTTTGTGTCAACAATGGGTTGAATCGGATCAATACTTCCTTTAATATAAAATTTTGCCAATACTTTAAGTAATTTTCCGGGCTTTGATCCTGGCAAGTTGCGAGAGTATAAAATGTTCGGTTACACCCGAACTTAGAACTTCCTTGCTTGTTTTTTTATTTTCATCACGTAAGACAGAATTGATTCTATGTCATAACATTTGCATAAATATGCCATATTTCCTAAAATAAATTACCCACTTTCGAACATAACCAAACGAAGACTTTATGGTACCATAGATCTATATATATACTGACATACTGGCACATAGTTAAGTGTGTGCGTTTCTAAATTGTCAAATTAGCAAATTGCATAATTAATATATTTACGTGTTACCAGTTTTGAGATGATATATTAATTCAAATTACTGATATATTAAGTGACGCTATAAAATGATTTAATTTTTTTAATTACGTACATATGTATATAAATTTTTTTTCATTTCTCATACTCTTTGATTGTGTTCACTTTCAGTCCATAGGTTCGCTTAAGCCGGCTTTGAAGTTCAGAAACTATGCGCAGCCGTTCGCTGGCCGACTTACGCTCGTCAATGACGGTCATACAGGTACAATGCATACATTTAAATTCTTTATACCAACAACAAATTTTACGACTGAATTAAATAACACTCTGTCACACTTAACAGCTGATATAACACTGCCTGAGACTGTACGTGGACCGCGGCCAACTATTACAGGTGGTACTTCGTTCCAGTTACGTATTGCTAGACAAAGCAACGATATTAGAAAATCTTATGAGATTACACGAGAAAATTTATGAAAATATTAGAGAAACTATTTAGTTTAATTAAAATATATATACATATAATTAAATAATCATATTTATTTGGTAAAATAAGCATTTATTTTATTTACGAAAACTTTAAATTATTTTGCTGAAAATCACTGTCAATTTTCAGTTGACGAAACTTAAAATTAAAATTTTCTACAAAAAGCAATAGAAATACACTTACGAATCACCTGAATGAGTCTTAAACAAAAATAATACAAATATTATTATATTAAATAATATTAAATGATAAATAGAATAATAGTTCATTGTTAATATTTTTCATATGCTATTATTGAAGTTGTTATTCTGACAAACTCACTTTGTCTATTGCTATAATTATTAAAAATATGTCAATAAAATAATTTGAGTTAAATTTTAATGAAATATACATGAAAATCACAGACAGCAAAATTTCTCTTTCTTTACTTTAGCGATCAAAATATACGCACAATAATTTATTTTAAATATCAAAAGCACAAGTGTAATTGAGGATTTCATTGAAAATTGGATTCCATTCTTGAATTTGAATAAAACGTTTTCTCTACATAAAAGAATAGATAACTATTTTATTTAGCTTTATAGAAATGTGTTTTAATATATTAAATTTTTTATATTAAATTTTGTTAAATAAGAAATAAAATTTAAATTTTAATTAATTAAAAACCGAAAAATATGTGATATATCTATAAAACTTCTTTTATGATCGTTTATTTATAATTTTCCAGTTGACAATGTTTAAGACCATCTGCCATCTTGCTACCTTCTTCCATCACTTTTGTCCTGAATTCTAAAGATATCCGAAAAATATCAAATAATTCGGATGTAGTCTAATTTAATACTCATGTTTGCTTCTAGTGTTTGAAAGTTTGTCCCATATTATTTACAATTTCTTCATAATTTGGTATTTTATATTACTTTGGACATTTTCGACCATCAACACAAAACTTTTCAAGCTTCAATTTCCAGAACAGTCATAACCTTAGTAAAATCTGTCCTTTCATTAATTGCCGTACTTGAAGACCATAATCAAATATTTTGCCTTTCAACTTTCTATACCTCAGATGTATTCTGAAGTGTCATTAAAACAAAAATTTCTAATCGTTTAAAAATTAACATCATTCAAACTTTGTGCAAATCATTGAGTTCATTTTCAGAAAACTTTACACAATAACCCATTCACTTCCACTGGTAGACTAGTTTCTGTGAATTCGTGACATCATTGCTTCGATGTCGTAACTTTTAAAAATCAAGGGGTTTAATTAAGTAAAACAGGAAATTTTTAGACTATATCTAAGTATCACCACATTACGATTAAATAATTAAAACCTCCCGAATAATTTTCACATACCATCGGTAAATAGCTGAAATGAATCACTTAATGCTGCTACAGTATGCGCGAAAAGATACCAGAATCCAATAATGCTGAAAAATAAGTTTTATACTAATGTCTCTTTTTCTTTTTGTATTTATTTATTTATTATTACCCTTATTTCTTGTTTTCTTTGATAAGATTGATGTTTGACGATGATATCTTTATAACGCTAACTTATGAAAAATTATACAGACCATTTATATAGAGCAGTAAATTCCTACAAATGAGCTTTCAATTTGTATGGTTTTCATAAAGTTATAAAACTCAAGAAAAATAAATATCAAATAGTCAACTTCAACCGTTATTTTAAACTGCGTTTACAGAAAAATCGTGAGACTTTTGAGCGTAAAATTTCAAAGGTTGAGCGAGTTCTGATAATAGAAAAAAAAAACTGTAAGGCGGGATCTTCCTTATAATTAAGATCTCATACTTGGAGACACTTTCTTAGGTGTCTATCAACCAATTTTAGAGTACCAAGCGAAAAAAATTCGTTGTTTTACCTAATAGACATTCGTATTTGTAGATGTCTCAATGAATCTCGCTAATTTTGTGAGGAATTCAAGAACTTTAAAAGCAAAAGGTTAAATTCAGCTTCAAAATACCATAAATGTATTTGTTACTTGCACCAATATAAGTGCTTCGTTACGCTTTCTTTTGATTGTTTTGATTATGATGTTTTTAGTAATTAAGTTTTATCGTCTAAGAAAGCACCAACCGGCTGTTGCTATAGCATGTTATATCATTTCGTCACATGACGATGAATACTTTTAAATTTCTCATTGTGAAATAAGGTGATGATTTCAGTAAGCAGTAAAGTATCAGACAACCAGAGTATGACAAAATGCTAATTAGATTAAATAGTAAGCTTTTCGACGCATAAAGCATATCCATCTATGATAAATAGTTAGCAAAAATTTACATTGCATAGAAAATTCCAAACCATAGAAACTGGTTAATCAGCCAGAATCACTAAGTTCTTAAACCATTAATCCTAGTTAATAAAACAAAGCTTTCGTGTGTTCAAATTACCTTAAATAATATTTATATATTATTTATATATTATGACATAAAATCTTTAAACTAAAATTAATACTAAATTAAATAAATTAGATGCAGCGTTGAATTCAACTGGATCCTGAAGTGGTGTGCTAAATAGTCAGTGCAGTAACGCTTGCTAAGACCGCCTTTACGTCGATAAACCAGCGCCTATTCAACGCTTGCAATGGGCGATTATTGTTCCATAACGGTGCACCATTTGTCTGTCTCAGTTCGAAGAATCTTCGGATCTATAAGAAAGCGATGAAGCATTAAGAAAAATTTTAGCATTTTCAAATTTTTTACCATTGCACGTGATATCAAAAGTGGCCTGGAAAACATGCCATGTAACCGCTTCGAACAGGGTGGTGTGGTAAGTGAACCTGAAATTTTAGTTTCAATTATTTATCTAGAAAATATGTATACGAGTATATTGCTACACACCTCTGTAGGCAAAAGTTTCTGGTATTCACTCGCCCAAAAGTGATTCAAGACAGTTGATTAATTATAGTTGTATTCGTATCAGACCCCACTCTAGGTAATCATTATTATATTCAGCCCTGGGTAATACGTTTGTATTCTATGGAACAGACATTTATTATGGGAAAATAATATTTCAGCTATACCCCGCACTTACGTCACAATATCAATCATATGGCCACCAACCGTCTGGATACTGCTTGCTTCCTGTGCGTTGCCATATTTCATATTTTATGCACAATGTGAATTTCCACATCGTAACGGTAACCATTGACGGTGTGTTCCGAACCCTAATACCACCTGGCGCACCCCAATGAAAATACCGACTGCGCTTCGTAGACCCATCCAACAGACCG